ACACTGTGGTGAACAAGACAGCTGTGGTCCCAGCCCCCCCAAAATGGAGCCTGGTGGGGGAGCAATTAAGGGGGTTGCTCTGGGAGGATCATTCAGTGGCCTTGTGCTGGCTGGAATGGAACAGAGAGGAAGTGAATTGGAAGTCTATGTGGGAAGAGTCTGCATGATCTGGCAAGAGGCGATGAAATCAGGCTGTTGGCCACCAAAGATGCTGGGCTGCATCCTGTCAGGAAGAGCCCTGTGAGTGCACCAGACAGACCCAGCTCCATCCTGTTCTACTTCTTACCAACTATTTGGCTATGGACGAGTTAGCTTTTGGGGTCTTTAGTTCCTTGCTCTGTACAATGAAACTAATGGTGCCTGCCTCCGCGGGTCATCGGTGAGTTTCAAATTAGGTGATACGTAGAAATCTGGCCTCTCAATAAATGTTCTAGACATGGAGCTATTGTCAATATGAACATTAAACAAAAGGTGAATCTAGGAGACAGTTGGAAGGAATAAATGTCAGAAATTGGGAAATACTAGAGTTGACACCTAAGTAACATTAATGTGTTTGAGCATCTTCTGTGGGTGTGAAAAAGGAGATTTAGATTGGGGTTGAGTGGGATTACCAAGTTATTTCAAGCAAGGCCATGCAGTTCTGTTTAGGAAAAAAGAAAAAAAAAAGCACTTGAGATCAGTGTCTGGGTTAAAAGTTTCCACCTTTATTTTCTCCAAGATTCTCCCAGTCAGCAGTTGGGCAAACTCCCAAAAGCCCAGAGTTAGACCAGGCATGGTCTTGCCCCACCTTCTGGTCAGGTCAAACTCTTGGAGAAAGATCCTGGATCAAAAATGGGGTGTGGAGTGAAATGGCTGCTCAGTGACCATCTTTCCTTCTGTAAACAGAATAAAACCTCAATCAACACCTTACCTTGTTTTTCTTTTTAAGTGGCAGACTCGTTGTAAACATGGGACCTACAGGATAAGACCCCAGGTAGGAACAAAGGAAATCACCTCACCAACTCTCTTGCCAGCAAAGAGCTGAAATTCTTGGAGAAGTCTTTGAGCCAAAACTCTCAGGGAGAATTCCCAGGAGACTTGCCCATCAGGCAGGAAAATGCAGGCAATATGGAATATGCAAAATGATGATAGAAAATCATCCAGCGAGCCTGCACCCAGCTATGTCTTAATGAGGCAAACTCCAAAGAAGCTTTCCCTTTAATCTGGCATTTGAAATGAAATGCTGCTAAGAAGCCCCCACCTCACCCGCCCCACCCTATGTGTTGCCATGACTACCCAAGTACTTAGAACATGAAAGAACAACCTCAGCATTTCCCTCTAAAACAAAAGAAAATTATTCCAGGTTTCTGGGCAGAGAACATCAAGGAATGGGACCTGTTACCATAGCAGGTTCTTCAGAGTTGCTAGTGATGAAATTTGAGCTGGCCAGGACGGGCCTTCAGCAAAGCCCAGGAAGGAAACTGGGGATGACAGGACCCCAGCTCTTGTGCAGTTGCAGTCCGCAGAGCCCACACTCTGCCGTCATTGCTGGCGCCCTCCCCTCAGCTGGACCTCATTTGCCCCTGCAATGAAACTTGTTAAAAGAAAACACATCCCCTGTCCATATGGGAAAGGGCAGGAGCTCCCAGGGGAGCAAGTCTGGGCTCAGTAGACCCCAGGTAGGAAGCAAAAGATGGTGGTTTCTTCTACTTTCTAGTTGGACTCACTCTTGAATAGTCAAAATGAGGCTGAACTGTAGCATGAACAGGAAGTCCCTTCAAGCCCCCTGAAGCCTAGGGTCCTGCTAATGAGGGCTGATCCAAGAAAGCAAGGCCAAGGAGGCCATAGCTGGCGGCTTCCTCAGCACCCCCTCAGCGCTCCTTCCCCTGCCCAAGCTTAAAGTCAAAACTCTGTTTTGAGTGTTGCCCTTGACCCTGAGCTGTCTTTCATTCTCCACACCCAAACCTTCATCATGTTTTGAGACTACTTCTAAAAATTCCTCAAGTCCAGCCACTTTTTTTTTTCTCTTTCTCTCTATTATCATGGTCTTGGTTAGGTCTCACTAGCTCTTGTCTGAAATGTTGCCCCCAGAAACATCTCCAGACTGGAGCTAGTGGTTCATTCTAAAACACAATTCTGGTCATGTCAATTGCTGCCTAAATATCCCTCAGTGGCTCCCATTTGCTCTGGGATGAATTTTCAAATTCCTTAGAAAGACATGTCCATGAGAGATGTCCATAAGGAACATCTCTCACCTCTGCTCCAGCCAGAAAGAGCACTTTCCCACCATATACACTCTCCCATGCCTCCTGGACTTCCCAGTTTTTTAGAACATCTTCCCTAATCCGGCATGCTGGTATATTTTGTGTGCCCCTCCAGATCCATTTTCCCCCCTTCTTTGCCACAGAGGCTGCCCTATATAGATCTCATGAACAAGCTCCAATGTTCTCTGGCTCCTGGTGGGTTTGACCAATGGGGACCACGATCAAGAGATTGGTAGATGGAAGAGAATGAGATCAGGGTATTTATTCCCTCCCTGTAAGCTTCCATCAGCCTGGATGATCCTTAGAGGAAAGATCATTCCTTCTATCAAGGTGACCTGCACTACATGGCCCTTTCTCTTTCCAATAGCCCTCTCCTCGCCCACACCATTTCTTCTACACTACGTGTGGTAATGGTTCTGCCATGTTAGCCATGGGCATCTACCTTATCTTATGATGTTCCCCTAGACCCTTTCCAAACACTTGCAAATTACCTCTTTGTACATAAACCCTCTTCAAATCATCTTAATATAAGTGCTCCTTGTTGGGACTCTGACAGATGTGCTCATCCTTTATCTTTTGCCAAATTATAGCCATTCTCTGGATCTAAGCTTGCTTCCTCCAGGACATCTTCACTATTCTCCCAAATCTGGCTTAGCTGCCCCTCTCCTTGGGGATCCCAGAGCCTCTGTATATTCTTCTGTCACAGTTGCAAAAGTCAGTCACATGCCCTGAATCTGAGTCTCTGCAGGGTGGGACCATGGGTTATTACTCATCCTTACACCCTAGTATCTAGCACAAAGCAAGCCCTCAAAAAACATTTACTAAGTGAAGAAGAGACAAGAGCTCAAGGTGAGACCCTGCTATACAGCAGCAACTCCCAGTGGTTGTCTGTCACAGGAGCTGGCATCCCCGGACCAAGGTACAGGGAATAAGCTAGAGCAAAGGGCCAAAGAGAGGCTATTGTTTAAAGAATACCTCCACCTCCAGCGCTTGAGGACCAGGTCAGTGAGACTGGGAAAGCATGAGGCAGTGGTGCTGCCTCCTGCTTCAACACCTTACTTCCTGGGAAAAAGGAAGGGACACCCTTTCTTAGCCAGGGGAGAGACAATGGAAGTGTGCCCCCCTTTCTTTAAGCTGAGAGCCCTGTGAACCTGTCAACCCTGGGAAACTCACGTTGCTTTGCTGAAATAAATTACTAAAAGTCTGAGGATTGTTCCAAAGGACCCAGTAGTACTTTTCTCTCTTCAGTTCCAGATTATTCATTCACCAAGTTTTATGGAGGTCTGAAATTCTATCCAAAAGGGAAAAATCACTTTTTCCCCTTTTAATCTGAGTTCCCAGTGGGCCATGTAAGAAGGCTGGCAGAGCCAGATTGAGAACTTCCAGGTAGAAAGACCCTTAGGCTCCTGGACAAATCAGGGGAGATGGACATACACAGTGGGTGGAAGGCAGAATAGTGAATTGGTGCAGCAAGGGGGGTCTAAAGTTCTGGCTCCTCCCTCATCTAGATATGTGACTTTGGGCAACTTACTGCACGTCTCTGAAACCCAGTTTCCTTCTGTGCAAGATGGTAGTCATAATAAGACCTCACTCATGGAACTGTCATGAACATCGTCTTTTGCCAAATCATAGCCATTCTCTGGATCTAAGCTTGCTCCATCCAGGAAGTCTTCCCTGTTCTCCCAAATCTGGCTTAGCTGCCCCTAGGAGGTGAAACGAAACACCCCTCAGGAAGCCAAGAGCAGTAGCCCCAGACTGTCAGATGCTCCCTTTCACCTCACATCTCTTGCAATCACCTCTACTTTTCTGAAATGAAATGTATAAATAATAAAATTCACACATTCTTTTTTTATATACTTTATTTATTTATTTTTGTATGGTACTGAGGATTGAACCCAGGGCCTTGCACATGCTAGGCAAGTGCTCTACCGCTGAGCCATAAACCCAGCCCCAAAACTCACACATTCTTTTAAAAAATCGATATATTGGTTGGGCACAGTGGCACACACCTGTAATATCCCAGACACTTAGAAATCTAAGGGAGTAGAATCGCAAGTTCAACGTCAAGCTGGGCAACTTGGAGAGATACTGCCTTAAAACAAAAAAGGCTGAAGATGGAGCTCGGTGGTAGAGTGTCCTTGGGTTAAACCCCTAGTATTTGGGGTAGAGAGATCAATATACTAGTCTGACTAAAGGATAAAAAACTAAAAATAAAATAAAATAATATACATTTTCAATCCCAGCACTGCAAAAAATTCATAATATGCATTATAATCTATAAATGCTTGAACATAACTACACTAGAGGAGATAATGAAGTAGTTGGATGATTACACCTACTTATAATGAATACATTTGAATTTAAAGAAGTAAAGCAATATTTATTGGAACATTATAGGTACTTCTTTATATTTAATGTTTCTGAAAGAAGACTAAATAAGTACTATATATTCATACAGATAGGTAGAATCACTATTCATCTTTGAAGGCAGAGGAATAAAGATGTGTTGTTTCAGCAACTCAAATACCATGAACATTTTGCTGTTGGTATTGTGGCTTTCTTAAATGGTGAACAACTCTGTTATAGACAAAATGCAGTATTCTATTTATATGATGGTTGCATTCATGAAAAACTCAGTGCATATCAAAATTGTGCAAAAATATTTTGTGCAAAATGGAATTAGGTTCTAGGTTTGGACCAATATAAAGAGGTTTCTACCTACATGAACATCTGGGGGGCATACAAACACATATGGAATGCAGGACAAATCTTTATTGTATAAGACTGTCCCACCTGTAGCAGGAAGTCAGTCTGTCTCCCTTCTGCCTCCACCCAAGTAGTGCCCCCAACCATGTAACAAACATGAATACATTTTCAGAATGCCTAGAGGGGGCAGCACTGTCTCCTCTGCTGGTCAGAAGTCCAGGAATCCTGGGGTTATCTGACAGGTAAGTACTAAGGAACATAGGATGATGGCCATCCAACCTCCAGGAATGCAGACAGTCAGCATTAGGGAACTCTTCCAGCACCACACTCAGACCCCACTGTTCTGTAGTACTCTGCTACCTTTTGTTTGGTTGCAATCAACAGGCAAAGGCCATTCTGATGGATTGCAGTGAGGTCTCTGTTGAAGAGGATAAAGAAGAAATCAGCACCAAAATACAGTTATGTTACATAGACTTCTGAGTGAAGAAAAAGTCTCAACAAACTAATAGACCCTTGAATTTTACTTCCCCTGGACAGTAATGGGGACCTCTTTGAAAAGAGTACTACCAGTACCTTTTGCAAATAACACTTGGTTTGCCACCTATGGGTGTTTTGTAAATCAAAATCATAGAGTATTTCATAATGTTAAAACATTTGTCTTCTGAATTGAATGTATCTGAAGAAAAACCTTTTTTTGGGGGGGGCGGTGTATGTGTGGAGATAAACCATACTTCTGGCAAGAACAGTTAAGGCATCGAGCTGAGACATTCAACTCATGTGCACCTTCCTGTATGCAGTCAGCAAAGCCATCTGACCAGCTAAACCTTATTTGAATCTGAAGTCTTATTTTACATAAAAAGGAGCAATTATTTCTATCATCCCAGGAAAGGGCACATCTTCAGACAAGGTACAAATTCAGATGGTGGCACAAGACAGGAGAGACTCTAGCCTTGTCAACTTCCTTATTTTTTAAAAAAAAGTGGGTCCATCTGAGCTTTCAAGGAGGCAGTTGTCCCAGTTTCTTCTTGGAGGCCAGGGCTGCCGGGATGGCACTGACCACTGCATACTGGACAGAGTGGGCTCTGAGCCCTCATGAGAAAGTCATATCTTGTAAGTGAAAATTTATAGGGTCCTGATATTCTTTGTTTCTTTCTTTTTTTCCTCCCAATCTGTGATAAAGGCTGGTCTGAAGAATCCAGCCTGGTCTCAGCTTCCCTGTGTGTATGATGAAGGGTAGGGATGATGAGAAATCCAGAGGGAAAATTCTCAACCACCCCTCTCTCCACAAAGAGATTTTCCCTTCAGTGCTGCTAAGTGTGGAGGAGTTGGCTTCAACTCTTTTGAAAAAGTAATAACTTTGCCTCACAGGATCTGGTGGAACCAGGGAGGCCATGGTCTTTGATGATCTAGGCAAGATACCTGGAAGGGGATCTCACGCCCATGGACTAAGTTCACAGCCAGGTCATCAAAACTTGAGAATAAGATCCTGTGGTTATGGCTCAGTGGTAGAGTGCTTGCCTAGTACATGTGAGGCATCAGGTTCAATCCTCAGCACTGCATAAAAATAAATATATAAAATAAAGGTATTCTGTTCATGTAAAAAAAATTTTTTTGAACTTGAGAATAAGATAAAATTTATCCTGCAACAGGGAGACCTGATGTGCATACTTATCCTGTATGGAGCACACTTCATGTCTGTTTTGCCAGGAGACAAAGTGGTCCACCAGTAGTTGGTTCAAGTTAGCCTGCCTTTGGGATAGAGTGGCTCCATCTGTATACAAAGTGGATCCAGTGAAACTGGGCACTAAGAAGGCTCGAAATCCATCCCCTACATGCGTTTTGAGGGGATGAGACCAAGAGAAAAATAGAACAAATACACAATCAAATAAAATTCAAATAAAAAAACAAAGCTATTTTTTCAAGGTTTGTCCTACTCTCCCTAGGAGTCAAAGTCATCCTGGTCCCAGAGAGCCCCTGGAGGTAGGAGGAACTACATCAGTGAGGGGACAGGGATGGCTCTATTTTTCCTTCCTTCCTTCCTTTCTTTCTTTTCAAAAAAGAGCAATTGACATCATTTGCAAATACCCAGAGGAATGCCCTCTTTTAGAGACATTAGTTAGAGCTGTTTGCTTTGTTTTCTTCCTTTTTCTTGGTGCTGGGGATTGAATCACTGAGCTACATCCCTCCTTTTTGTTTTTTTGCAACAGGGTCCTACTAAATTACCCAGGCTGGCCCAGATCTTGGGATCTTCTTGCCTCAGCCTCCCAAATCCCTGGGATTAAAGGTGCCCAGCTAGAGCTGCTTTCTTTATCAAGCACAACAGCAGCTTCAGCACCCCTGAACCTCCCCACCATCTGGTCTCCTTGGGGCAACCTCCTAGATTTGGGGCACATTCTGGGAGAGAACCAGACTTCTCTTCAGTGAATCCAGATCTGTTAAAGCCAAGTGCACTCAACCACTGCTGAGAAGCAGTGCACATGAGAATCACACGTGGAGTTTTTAAACACATCCATGCCTGGGCCCCACTGCCAGAGAATCTGATGTAATTGGCCTGGGGTGGGACCTAGGCACGGATGTGCTTTAAAGGCTCTCCAGGTGATTCTAATGTGCAGCCACAGTTGAGAACTACAACGTTATACAACAGGAGAGGCCCTAGGGCTCTCACTCAGATCACAGTTACTCTTAATTTATATATACTTCTAACAATCCGTTTGTCTGGTTTTCTAGCTGGTGTAAGATTAAATGCAGCATATTTAAGGGAGAAAAAGGCTGCTAATGAAAAGACACTAAAAGCAGCAAGACATAACACATGAGGGTCTGATCACAGGGGTAAAGATAGAAAATCTATAAAAAGCAAACACAGCATACAACCTCTCTCTCCACTCCAGCATATCCTCTTTACAGTAAGACCTAAGGGGATCACTCTACGGAAAGGAAGGAGCCAGAAGGTTGCAGTGTGAAGGACAAGTGATATGTATTTACTGTCCCCAATGTGTAAGGCCTATGTTGACAGTTGCTAGAAACATTGCCTCACTGAATTCTCATCATAGCCCTATAAGTATTACTAACCCATTTGCAGGTGAAGAAATGAAGACTCAGGGAGGATCACTGGCTTGCTCAAAGTTGCACCAACAGCGAGCTGCAAAGCTGCGATCTGAATGTCAAATGTAGGTCTATTTCACTTGAAAGACAATTTGACTCAAAAGTTCATAGATGCCGGGCTCTGTGGTGCACTGTAATGCCTATAATCCTAGCAGCTTGGAAAGCTAAGGCAGAAGGATTGTGAGTTCAAAGCCAGCCTCAGCAAAAGCGAGGCACTTAGCAACTCAGGAAGACCCTGTCTCTAAATAAAATACAAAAGAAGGTTGGGGATGTGGCTCAGTGGTCGAGTGCTCCTGAGGTCAGTTCTCAGTACCTCTGACTCCCAAAAATGTTCACGTGTTCAAAAGTGCCATATCTTGGGGCTGGGGATGTGGCTCAAGCGGTAGCCCGCTCCCCTGGCATGTGTGCGGCCCGGGTTCGATCCTTAGCACCACATCCGCCGATAACTAAAAAATAAATGTTAAAAAAAATTCTCTCTCTTAAAAAAAAAGTGCCATATCTGCCGATGTAGCATAATAGTTGATTTCTTTTTTTGTACTGGGGATTGAACCCAGGAGTGTTCTACCATTGAGGTACATCCCCAGCCTTTTGTATATTTTGAGACATCGTCCCATGAAATCACTGAGGCTGGACTTGAACTTGGTTATCTGCCTTTGTCAGCCTCTGGAGTCACTGGAATTACAAGCATGCACCACCGTGTTTGGCTAATAACTGATATTTTTAATGATGGACCGATGTCTAGAGTTGGATTATCTTCAGTATCCAAGTGTTCAAGATGTTCGCTTTAGGAATAGTTACATAACATGTGTAAGGGTGCGCATGCATACACATGCTTTTTACCAAAGATGAAAGAACTGGGTATCCATTTGAGAAGTAAATAAATAAATAAATAATAAAGTTATGTCCCAGCTTACACCATTCATCAAAATGAATACCAGATGGCTAAAGATGGAAATGAAACCATAAAGGTACTAGAAGAAAATAGAAGTGAATATTTTATAATCTTAGGATGGGGAAGGACTTTCTAAACATGTCAACAAAAGCAAAAACCATAGAAGAAAAGATTGATAGATTTGACTACATAAAAAATTAAAAACTTCTGTACATCAAAACCAGAATAAATTGAAAAAATATTCAACCTCACTAGCATTCAAAGAAAAGCAAATTAGAACAGCAATGAGAGACCTTCTCTTTTTTTCTGATCAGATTGGCAATGATTAAAAAGAATGATAATACTGAGAGTTGGCATGGGTGAGGGGAAATCAGCACTCGCACATTGGTGGAGGGAGTGTAAATTGGTACGATCTTTCTGGAAGGCATTTTGGCATTATGTATTAAAAAAAGCCTATGAAAGCCCATACCTTTGACCTAGTAACTCCAGGTATAAAAGCACATCCAGAGGACAGAACTGACCCATCATAAACAGCATGTTTAAAATATATGCAAAGATTTCATTCACTGAGACCCTCTTTGGAATATTGAAGAATTAGAAGCAACTTAAATGTTTAACAAAAATTAGTCAAATAAATTATATGGTCCACATAAAAAATAATGTTATAAAAAACATGTTACCAAAAATGATGCTAAAAGACAAACCAATGGAATAGAACAGAAAGCCCAGAAACATTCCTAAATATATATATGAAAGCTGATCTGTGACAAATATCAAATCAAAGAGGCAAAGGCATATTTTTAAATAAAAGGTGTTTTGCTAACTGGAAAAAGAGACACTTTTTTCACACAATATTTCACACAGAACACCAGGAAAAACTTCAACTGGATTAAAGATATAAAAACCATAAAATTACCAGAAGACTAATAGAACTCCTTTGTCTTATGGTAGTGAAGACCTTTCCAGTGATGAAATAAAAGACTGGCAAATATAGCTGCAAAAAACTTTCAAACCCCTGTAAGGCAAAAACACCATAAGCAAAGAGAAAAATACAAATGACTAACTGGAAAAAAAATGCAACTCCTTTTCACAAAGGGCTAATCACCCCAATACATTATTTGTTCCTATAAACCAAGGAGACTAATAACCCAATAGAAAAAGTACCCATTTCAAAAATATATATATATATAATTTTTTTCTCTTTTGCAGTACTGAGGATTGAACCTAGGACTGCTCTATCACTGAGCTCCATCGCAAGTCCTTTTATTTTTGTTTTTTATTTTGAGGCAGGGTTTTGCTAGGTTGCCAAAGCTGGCCTCAACTTGTGATCCTCCTGCCTCAGCCTCCCAAGTAGCTGAAATTATAGGTGTGCCCCACCACAACCAGAATAATATTGCATATTTTTAAAGTAAAATTAATTTAAT